GCATGATAATAGAGAATCTTTCAAGAAAGGAAGAGTTAATCAACGGAGCATACTTCATTGTCTTATTTTGAAGAAATTGCCAGTCACCCTGACCTTTTGCCACCTCCACCCTGATCAGTCAGACCCTCCGCCAGCAAAATGACTGCAACTTGCTGAAGGCACAGAAAATGACTAGTATTTTTAGCAATATTTTAAAATTAAGGTATATACGTTGTTTTGTTTTCAGATAAAATGGCATTACACACTTACTAGACTGTAGTGTAAATGTAACTTTCATATGCATTGAGAAACCAAAAAATTTGTGTAGCTGCTTTATGTGGTATTTGCTGTATTATGGTGCCCTGGAACTGAATCCATAAAACTCTAAACTGTTCTTAGTTCCTTTACACTGTATTTAAATTTCTTTTTGAAATTTAAATGAACCTGAAAGTTCTTACATAGATATCATATATAACTTTAGATTTTTAAAAAGATTTATTTATTTATGCATACAAGAACTGGGGTGTAGGCCAGAGGTTGGGAGAGTGGTTGTGAGAGGAGTCACCAGAGACAGAGCGGGGAGCAGAACAGGCGGAATGACTGAAATACACTGCTGAGGGGAGCAGTGGGTGAGTCAGGAGAGGTCTGCTGCGCCATGTGGGTCACCTCCCTGGCTGGGGATGGAACTCATGCTGCAGTGGCTGCAAATAGCTTCGTAGTGCTGAGACTTACCCCTTGCACCACCAGGGAGGCCAACTTTATTTAGATTTTAACTTTAATGAACAAAGGTCTTTGTTTTGTGGTGCCCCTCTGCTGATATACTAAAAGGAGTTCTTAATGGTAGGTGGAGGTGGGGGGGTGGGGGTGTGATTTTGCACTCACTACCCTCCTGGGAATACCTGGCAATGTTTAGAGTCATTTTTAGTTGTCATGGCTAGAGGGAATGTATGTGCTACTGGCAGAGGCTAGAGATGTTGCTAAATATACAATACACAGGACAGCCCCCCAGAGCAAACAATTAGACAGCCCCAAATGTCTAAAGTGCCAATACTGAGAAGACCCGTAACTAAAAGGATGAAGGAAGGAGAAAAAAGGCAGAGTGGATTCTTATGAGTTTTTTTTTTTTAACCTAAAATCCTAAAATTACAGGTGATTTGTTTCTAAATCACATCATTTTTTTTTTTGGTTAAACAAGGTGGTCAAAACACAGCAAAGCCTAGTTTGTTGATTCAGCAGTTGAGAGATGTCTCTTAAATAAAAGCCTTAAAAAAGCCTTTTTCATAAGGAGCACAAGGGGGCGCAGGAGCCCCACATCACTGCAGTTCCCCGCAGACTTACCATTCTGTCTCCAAGTCAGAAAAGAAAAACAGTAACCAGGTGTGTGAGTGCTCTTGTTCTGCTGAAAATTTGTGCTTAATAATTATTTATTTTGGGGGGTGGGGTGGAAAAAACAATTATTTTCAGAGTCAAATGAAGAGCCTCTTCTACCTTTCTTCTTTCTAGTATTTAGAAGCTGACATGTGTTTACAGTCTAAATAGCAAAATCATTTCCATTTAAAAGCTGAGCACAGGGTCTCCCTGGTGGCACAAGGGGTTAAGTCTCAGCACTACCAAGCTATGAAGCTATGGGCAACCAGGGAGCAACCCACATGGCACAGCAGACCTCCTCTGTCTTGCCCCTGCTCCCCTCGGCAGTGTATTTCAGTAGATCCGCCTGTTCTGCTCTCCATTCTGTCTCTGGTGACTCCTCTCACCACCACTCCCCCAACCTCTGGCCTGTACCCCAGTTCTTATATGCATAAGGAAATAAATCTCTTAAAAAAACCCAAAAAACCTGAGCACAATTCCACCCTACAAAGGGGATTTACCCGCTTAGATATAAACCAAACCTACAAGTTAATAAAAATGGAGCGCCCGTGTATAGTTGGCACGAGGTGTAGATTTTTATTTCTCCCCATCTCTGCTCTCACCTACACATCTGGACTCTTACGCGCACAATATGCCAAGTCAAACACCTTGAGAAGATGGGGCCCAGGAGGGCAGTGCTGCAGACTGAAACCTTCCCTGAAATCTGAAAAGAAAACGTGTGCAGGAAGCTCTCTACAAAATAGGGAACTATTTTGAAGTCTTATAGCTAAAACTAGGATCACAACTGGGATCTCTTACCTATAATTATGAAGGTGCCTCCAGGGAAGTTTTTAGTAGTACAAAATGTTCAGAGACATTCTGGGAGAAAAGTCTTAGGTCAGTGGTTTTGAACCTTTCATTAATTTTCCCTCAATGGACTAATGTTTTGAAAGATTTTGTCTCTCAAAGTGCATGTTAAAAAAATAATATGTTCCATATGTGCAAATGCTGATTCAGATTTTATCCAAAGATCAGTTAACTTTAAGAGGTTTCCTAATTTATGATACACACAAATCACTGTTGCAGTTGTGATGCTAACAAGCAACAAGGGTAAGTATTTGTACACTTAACACTGCTTTCTGCTACTGAGCACGAATTCTGGTCATCCCTCCTTCTCTCTACATATATATTCGAGACCTGGTCATCTGTACCCCTCTATATAGTCAAGATGCAGCTATAGGACCTGTGGATTTGCGACATTATTTCATTACCAATAATGTTCCCCGAAGTTCTGAGTCATCAGCAACAAATTAAGAGCTTCTGAAAAGCCGGTCTGTTTTCTTCTACTGAGTGGATATAATGTTAGTCAAGTGCCAAAAAGCCTCAACCTCCCCCCAACTATTTAAATTCTATTTAGAAGTTTTAGGGAAATATAAAAAAATACATTTAGAAACTGATGGATCCCCAGAGTAAAGGGAATAGTCTACAGGACCTATGGTCTTACGGTATTTTACGGAAACTTTTTTTTATTCTAGTGTACAAATAACCCAGAACCTACTTAACTGGTTCAGAAGTATTCACCATACTTAAATTAGAATTTAAAAAAGAATCAAACTTAGGCTTGAGAGTTTAGAAACTCACAGAATTTTAGAGCTGGGAAGAAAATTGGAGATTACTAACTCCCTCACACTTTTACATGAAAAATAACCTCTTTGGACCCTTAAATGACTTAAATCATTTGAGCCATAATTTAGTCCAGCCTTTCCAATTCCCAACTCGAAGCTTATTCCACTATACCCCAATGCTTTCTGGTGAACCATAAATTCTTTTAAAAACCATCATAATTATAAAAATATAGATATAGCTATATATTATTTATTTATATTAAAATTTTATTTTATTTATTTATATAAGCACTAGGTACAGTCAGAAACGAGGGAGGGTGAGAGAATTCACCAGAGTCAGAGTGGAGAGCAGAGCAGAACAGGCAGACTGACGAAGTACACTGCTGAGAGGAGCAGCGGGCATGGCAGGAGAGGTCTGTGCGCCATGTGGGACCCTCGCCCGGTGGCCGGGGATTGAACCTGTGTTGCAGAGGCTGCAGGCAGCTTCACAACCCAGCGCTCAACCGCTGCGCCACCGGGGAGGCCCTAGCTATATATTATTTAAATCAATAGATTTCAAATTTGTTTAGCTTTAATCCATGGTAAGAAATCTGATACCCGTTCATATACAACTGAACAAAAGTTATATGAAATGAAATTTATCCTCACTTCATAATGTAATATCCTTCCAATAAATTGATTTCACATCCCAATAATGGGTCTTCTCTCAAAGTTTGAAAAACAATAACCATACATGTTGCCCTCTGGTTGTGATAACTGTATGTTAATTATACAGTCTTATTTAATTCTCCAGTTGTTTTGCATGGGTTAAACATTTCCTCTCCTCCCTCCAGAAAAGATGTCAACACAATAGCATGTCTAACAGCAGATGCACCATAAAGACTTGCCCCATTGCTTTAGACCATAAAACGTCATGTAACTTTAGTTCATGGACTGCAATGGTAAGAAGGAAAAAGGAAAAACAAAATCTTGAGACCTCCCATTCTTTCTTCTTCATTAAGCCTTTTCTGCTTGAGTTGGAGATGGTACACATCAGGCTCAGGGAAACAATGGGTAGAGCATTCTGATTAGAACTGAACAAAATGCTGTTTCTGGGCCTCCCTGGTGGTGCAGCAGTTGAGCGCTGGGTTGCGAAGCTGCCCGCAGCCTCTGCAGTGCCGGTTCGATCCCCGGCTGTTCCCCGGCCACCAGAGGAGGGTCCCACATGGCGCGCAGACCTCTCCTGCCGCCGCTGCTCCCCTCAGCAGTGTACTTCGGTCCTTCTGCCTGCTCTGCTCCCCGCTCTGGCTCTGGTGAATTCTCTCACCCTCCCACGCTTCTGACTGTACCCAGTGCTTATATAAATAAATAAATAAATCTTTAAAAAAAAATGCTGTTTCTTTTTTCTTATATGTGGGGGTTTATGATTTAAGTGAGGGTATAATACATTCCTCCATGTTATAAGAAAGGGCTTTGAGAAGCAATCAATGATAAATTTCATTCAGGAATTTCTGAAGATGCCTCACCAGAGCAAGTGTGTCAGGGATCATCTTGGCCATTAGAAGAAATTAATCCTCTCTTCCTGTCAGTTTCTTTTGAAATCTGTGCGTGTTCCCTTTCCTTCTGTCATGTGCCTTAGTGGCTTCATCAAGACAGTGGAAGGGAAAATGATGTGAAACTAACTCCTATGAATTCTATTACTTGCTAACAATTATTCTATTCATTCTTTGTTTCATTCCGCAAATACTTGTTGAGTGCCAACCATGTACCAAGTAAGATGTTCTAGGCCTTGAGTGATACAGTGGTGGGTGGACAAGCCAGACCTGGTCTGCTGCTGTGGAGGTCTGCAATCCAGAGAAAAGCGTGGAAAGAAAGTATTTGTATTCTTTTGTCATATTAATTCGTTCTTTCTCACCACTTGTTATACCACAAATGACAAACTTGCAAAAATTCTGGCTTTTTCTTACCCAGAGGGTGTTGACAGAAATCAGAATAAGGAATATCAGCATAATTCATTGACACTTGAGTAAATTCTCTGAGACAGAAAGGATTGTACAAGGACTCACACACCTTAAAGTACACAGTTCCCTTCTCTTTGACAATGGCAGCCTGCTCCAATTTTTCTTTGGTATCCATCTCCCAGGATTCTTTGGCCTGCGTACAAATTTGTGACAATGATTAGATAAACAGAGAAGGAAAAAGCATCACCTGATGCCCATAAGAACGACAAAGAGCTACTTCTACCCACACTTCAAATGCATGTGTCACTACCAATTCCCCCACCAGGCTGCCACTCCCTTTCCATGAAACTGACAAAGCTTTGGCTTGACCCCTGTTACCCAAGGAGAAGCAGCAGGCAAAAAACACCATGAGGAACAGAAACCACTGAACTCTGTTCAAGAATGTGCCTTTAGAATTTGAGGTGAGGCCACACAATGAAAGCTAGGGTCCCTTCACACCTTTTGCAAATTTCTCCACTAAACTATTAATATAATTTCAGCAACTTGTTTTTCCTCAAGCCTCGGTTGTTCAACTCTAAAATGGGAACACTACTGTAGTCAAGTCACAGCTGCATGTTCATATAGTACTTTAAAAATTCCAGATCATGTGTTTGTCTCTCCACTCTAAAACAACCAGACAGACTAAAGAAGCCACACTATGTCAACTTGCAGATGTATGCTCGGGTAATTTCCAAGGAAAACATAATTGGGAGGGTAAAGCTGATGCACAAATATCATTTCAGAGCCATCCAGAAAAGACTTTCTGATCATCTGCTAATTTGTATTATGTGTGTCATGGCTCCAGCATTATAGAGAAGATGACAGAGACAACTGTTCTTTCCATGGGAACTGTGGGATTTAGAAGAATCACAGTCAACAGGACAATCAGGGTCCTGCAGGGAAAGTGACAAAAACAGTTGTCAGTGTTATTATTTTCTACCAGGAATTATGAAGCTTAAGTGAGTCACTAGAATTTACTCTATTCACAAAACAATTAGTGGTGCCTTCCTGGTGTCACAGCCCATCCCCCTTCTTTTTTTTAAGTGAAAATGAGGGAGTTACTAGTTTTTCTGGCAATTTTATGCTGATTCCTAACAATTTAGTCCATTACTTCAAAATCTAGTAACAAGGCTTTTTGCTTTTTTGTTTATATTGGATTCAGTCTTTCAGGAATATAAATATATTCTCAACACTGTGGGACAGAGAACTATATCATGTTGCCCCTGACACCACACCCCTTCACGTGGTTTTAGACACACCAAGCAGTATTGCATGGAACACGCTTCTGGACGACAACAGGTGCCTCGTGGCATCCACAGCAGGAATGCTCTTAAATGAGCAATGGCTACTGGTCTGTGGAAGGAAAATGGAAGTAGGGAAGCCAAAGGTGGAGATAACCATATGCTGCAGATTATTTTCTCCTCCTTCACAATAAAAGACACTCTGATTTGCGCACAGAATTGGAGGATCAGTTCTGTACTAACAAGCCTTCAGAAGAAGTTACCTGCCAACAAGCGGTGGTCACGACAAGAGCAAATGTTTGGGGAATGTGAAGCGGGGAGAGTAACAATCAGGAAGGTCACTGTTGGGGGAGAATCCTAAAGCAATCTTTCCCCTCACTTTCTTAGTTCAAAGTTACAGGCCTATGGGACAAGGATTTCCTTCCTGAGTCTAATAAAACAAATGGCCATGTTTCCAGTCCAAAATTAGTGCACAGGACACAGAGACAGCACTGTGGACACAAAAAAGGCATGTGAAATGCAGTCCTGGGGCTGCTCGGGGAAGAGTGGGGTTTTGACGCACAGGAGGCTTGGCTAGACATGGCAGCATACCTAATGAGGCACATGCTTTGTGTTTGTTCAGGGAACCTGCTGCCAGGAGCCTCCAGAGGTGGCCTGGGGTAGAAATATGCTCAAGGAAGCCTGCCGCTTCTGGACCCTAAGACAACTGTCAAACTCTCTTTGTTTTCTACTTGGACAAGTATGAAAAGAAAAGGTCTAGGGTTAGATCTGTCTCTTGTGTCCCTTGTCACAGAGCCTGGTGGCCCACAAAGCCTCATGTTTTGGATAATAACTTGGAACCACAGTACAGGCCTCTTCACTACTCCAGAGAAGGTACAATCCGTTCAGCAAAACTGCGCCCCACGCCCCCAAGGAGCTGCTTGGCAGAATGTGAACTTTTTTGTCTTCAACCCAGGAAAAAAAGTACAAAAAGAACAAGTCTAGGAACAAATAAGGGAACAAGTCTTGGATTCTTCCCAAAAAAAGTTGAAAAAAAAAAAAGCAAGGCTGACACAGAGGAACAAATAAGAACACTGAGCTCCCTCTGGTACATCAGCTGTGCTCTATCAGTGGCCCCGTGCTCCAGAGGCAGTGTCAGAGACGAGAGACAAACTTGGTCATGAAAAGCACAACACACAAGTAAGTGCCCTCCAGCTACACCACCTTATGTAATATAAGGGACGGATTTAGAGGACGCGATGGAGAAGGAATCTACCGTGATTTCAGAGAAGTTGGTATTTTCTCACCTTTTCGAAGCTCTTAAGTGTAACTTCATATATAAGCTCAGCATTAGGTTCAATGCCAAATTTAGGCTTCCCTGCCTCTCCAAAACCATATCTGAAATGGAGAGTAAAAACATAAAGCTTTAAAAGAATTGGTGTATTTCCAGGCACTTTCTTCTGTATTTTGAGGCGTCACAGCAGCATAGGGCCATCATACGCAAACTACACACGTCAGAGACCCTGCACACAAACCAGATGTCAACCAGAAGAGAGAGTGCCAAGGACCACTGCTGTGGGTTTTTAGGAAACCAGGTTAGATTGTTTTCTTTTCTCCTTCACATTCACATGTAAGGCAACACCTGTACTCCTCGAAGAGCCTCCTTAATGTGATTTTAAATGTCACTGCCTTTTTCTCTGCTGGATTTTATAGCTAAGTTCTTTTTATAAAACAGCCATTAGTTGGCTATTAGAACTTCCCCTTAAGCTTTATCAGCAAGACAGAAAAGATGGCACTGTTCACTGAGGATGTTTTAAGAAGCTTTTAGTTTTAAAATGCTGTCATTCCAGGAGAACCGTTTCCAGTCAGATAAATGGGAGGGGAAGGCTCACACACCAGGAAGGAAATACATTCTCACAATATTTCTTCAAGCTTGAAAAAAGTACACTAGGAAACACAAATGATATAGCAAAAATATGATTAAAAAAATAACCTTAGCAAGCCCTAAACCCTTGGCAAGAGAAATGTAGTCAGCTCTATAGTGAGCACACTGTAAAACACTATACCTTTTAGCCAAACTTAGTAGATAAAATAACGATATATATATAAATTTATTTTTACAGATTGTTTAAGATCTTCATCAAATCCAAGACATGTAAGAAGCACACATCTACTAGAAAGGGAGTTCTGGTGGAGCTTTGTCTGTCTGGTTCAATGGCTTTCCCAGTGTATGAAACAATGTCCCAGCATATTAGGAAAGTGTTCACTGGAATATATTCTGATCCTGTTAGGGGGAAAAGGATGTCCTAAAGCTAATTCCATACAGGCTTTGTGGACTTCCCCCCCCCCCCCCCCCCCAGGCCAAAGCCAGAGACACTGGGAACTCCAAATCCCATCACCACCAAAGGGAAGGTTGCTGGGACCTGAGGGTGGGGTTAAGCAGCCAGGTTGGTATAAAGCCAGACACGTGGGCTTTGGAGGGGTCCCCTATTTTGGTTCTCCGCCAGCTCGCAGCATCCTGCCAGCTCTGAGAGTGCTTTTTGGGTTTCCAGGTCGTCGGATCGGGTAGGACGCATTAAAGACTTTATTTCCCTATTTTCTCCCTGAGTTGTACATTTTCCTTATTTCCTTTTCCCTTGTAAATAAACCTTTTATTAAACTTTTGTGTGTGCCTGTAGTGGAGTATTAATAAGTCCCTTTTAAGCGCGCGGGTGAGGACCCACAGCCAGGCAACCCGTTCAATATCGGGGCTTTCCTATAACATTCCTATCTTTTTCAAGCCAAACTATCCTTTAATAAATAAAATGACATTGCACAAATTTATTGAACACAAACATTTAAGTTGTAGGTTGAAAGATGCCAAAACCAGGTCAATGCTGATACCTCCAGTTGTCTCTGGGGTCAAAGAACTAGAGTGGGAACGTGCACATTTTGTTGCTTGCATCACCTTCATTACTCCTTGCCTGAATTTTCCAGGAAGAAAGTGCTTACTCACTCACCTCTACTGTTACACAAGAAAATGGCAGCTGAAGCGAGAGGGAGGCATAGAGATACAATGAGAGTTAGTAGGAATGGGGTGTGGTAGTTTTAATAGCAGGGCAAAGGGTATCTTCAGCAAAGAAATAAAAGAGGACATAATTACCAGTGGCCAATTTTAGGAAGTGGTGACTAGTTTTCTACTTTGAGCTCTATTTTGTTTCTGTCATCTGGTAAGTAAAGAGCATTTCTTAAATGCTGGGAACCAGGTAAGTGAGCCCTGCTACCCATGAATTTGCAGATAGCTTGTTATACTTGGAACCCTAAGCCAACCAAGTACCAGTCCAACAGATGAACAGGCACTTGCCTTAGACCAGGGGTGATTTTAATACAGCAATTCCTTCTCCCCCCACCCCACCGATACGTAGCATTGTTTATAGACTTTGCGTTTGTCATAACTTGAAGAACCTATTGGGATCTAGTGGGCAGAGATCGGGGACACTGCTGAACATTCTACACCATGCACAGCAGAATCCCCACAATGAAGAATCACTCAATCCCAAATGTCACTAATTATTAGTGCTGAGGATGAGAAAAGCAGCCTTAGAGAAACTCACAAACAGGGATCCCATGGTGAAGGGTGTGGGGGTTGGGTGAAGGGAGGCACTGGTATTCATCAATGGAATTACGGAAGACTGAAGGATATTACTTCTACAGCTTCTCCAAGGTTAAAATGAAGAGATGCCGAGAAGATGTACATGAAGGCCATCATCCTGGGAGGCATAACTACACACCTAACTGTTCTGGGAGCATCTAACCTGACCATGTTAGGCAGAAAGTTGGCTGACTTGTGCCAGAGCTGCCTGGCAGTAAGGACAGTCATCCAATTGAAAGATTAGAATATCCCAAAACCTAACCAAATGACAAGCTGGGCTATTAAGAGCTATCTGCAGAGACTGGATATACAAATAATGTCTATTAATGTGCATACATGAAGCACTTATACCTTAAGTTCTTACCAACTGCTCCCTTTTTACAGATAAAGAAACTGAGGCTCAGAGAAAAGTGCTTCCTGAGAATCATACAAAGATGCAGTGGCAGAGCCAGGATTTAAAGTCAGACCCTGTGTGCTCTCAGATTATTTATTTTTGACCCATAACCACCTCTTAATTAGACACTATGGTTCTTGGCGGCCTGTGTTTTTGTTTGGAGTTGTAGGAAAGAAATGTAAGAAAAGGAAGGAAAGAGAGGGTATACCCTGGAAATCTTTTGGAGAATGATACAAAGAGTAAAGCAGAGCTTATATTTGCAACAGTCATAATCACAGCAACACTCAGATGCAATCTACTGTGGTAAATGGGAATCTGTATAAGTCAACTCACTGCCAGCACTCAACACTGTAGGGATTTTTTTTCATACACAAAACATTACACTGTGCGTGCACATGTGGATAGTCTCATCTTGCAGAATATGCACTTTACATAATTCCTATATACACTAACCTACATCCTGAAGAGAAAATATCATGTTCCTTTCTAAATATGCTAAATTATTTCCACAAAACACATGAAAAACTTATACGCAGAAATGCATAAAAACTTGTTGATTACTTTTATGACTAAAACGATCTAAAAACTTTACCATATGTTAAAACAGGATTTCCTTTTTCTTGTGGTATGAGGGCAAAATGGAAGAGAAAGATAGCTATTGCAATGGTGATAACAGCTAATGTACTGAGGGCTTAAATGTATCAGGCACTTTGCAAACTTTTTCATGTGCATTGTCTTATTTAATCCTCCACAACTCTATAACATAGATGCTGTTGTTCCCACTGTACAGAAGGGGAAACTAAGGCATAAGAGAGTTAACTGACTTGCCCAAGTGCACGCAACTGGTAAGCTGCATAGCAGGGTCTATTACACTTTAAACTCGCAAGAAAAAAATTATATTACAAATACACAAGGACAATACCTGTCTCTCTTTGCCATTAAATTTGAGGGACATGCCTTGTCAGCTAGGTTAAAATGCAATGAACTGGGCCTCCCTAGTGGCACAGGGGTTAAAGATTCAGCACTATCAAGCTGTTCCCAGCCACTGCAGCACTAATTCAAACCTGGCTGACCAGGGAGCTGACCCACATAGCACAGCAGACCTCTTCTGTCTTGCCTGCTGTTCCCCTCAGCAGGGTATTTCAGTGGATCTGACTGTTCTGTTCCCCACTCTGTTTCTGGTGAATCCTCTCACCCCCTGCACCTCTGGCTTACATCCCAGTTCTTGTATGCACAAATAAATAAATCTTTTAAAAAATGCAGTGAAATGATTCGTATAGTATTGTATGCTCACAGTGGGTACAGAACTTATCCTCAAGGAGCTGAAATCTGGAAACACAAATTGGACATAAATACCACTCTCTTTATATGTGCTTAAAATAACTATAATTTTATAATGTTGGATTAAGAGTAACTAGATATTATTTGGGTATGGAAGAGACAGACTTATCTATACTTGATTTAAAATAAGTTCCTGATAGAGAGAAATCTGTTCACTTAAGCACAAATTACAAGTATGCAGTACATGTAAATAAAACTTACTGAAGTGGGAATACAGCAGTGGAAAAAAGGAATATGACAGAGAAAAAAAGTAACATGTGCTTCAGTGAAGGTTCTAAAGAGTTCAAGGTGTAGAGCATTCTGGAAGGATTTTCAAGTGGGTAGTGGCATGGCTGAAACATCACTTGAGAAATATGATAATGGCGCAAGTGTCGGGGCAAAGGTAACTATGCCACTGGATCACCACGGAGGCTACACAAAGGCAAATGACTGCACAAAAGGCACGATACTGCCTCCTAGTAAGTGCAGGCCATCAAGTCTCTCAATAACTCAAATCCTGCTGACTGAAACACAAGTTGCCAGAGAGGGAGGAGACACCAGATAAGCAGATGCGCTTTCATGCAAGCAAAATCAAAACACCCCGGTTTCTCTCAAGAGTCCATTTCTCAAGATAGAAGGGTTGGATTCATGGTATAATTTTAGATCTAAAAATAATACCAAACATGTTTTCACAAGAGAGACTGTTAGTGTCTGATAATTCTAAGCTTGGAAGTGCTAATGGATATCCTTATGATGGGAAAAATTTAGGCAAAAATGAGTCATCTCCGCTGCCTTTAGATCCAGGAAGAACACTCTTTTTTCAGGGACTCTGTATAAGAACAGGTGGCACAAATTCAAGTGGGTAATAAATCATCCTAATGCATCCTCCACTCCCAGCCCCCCACGTTTTACTGCCTCCTGCCTGATTTAGAGAAAAGGGAAGAGGGGAGCAAGAGAAGGGCCAATAGCACCCTGTGGCAAGTAAAGCCACTAAACATAAAAGCAAAACTTACCTGTCAGTCCTATCCTTAATGCACATCAATCAAGCAAACAGGTTCACAAACCTTTGTGATATTGTAAGGCCCATTAATTCCCTCCACCCCTAACTGCAGCCTGATTTAATTAATTGTTTCCACTGTTAGCATTGACCTCACTGAAAATACCAAAATGTTGACTGAAAAAGCGAGTCTATTCCTGTTCTCTGGATAGCTTCACTGTATACTCAACTACTATGCTGCTTACCGTGGTCCAAGATATAAAACACAGTGTTCTTCCCGTTGCATTTTTTCCAGGGCTTTGTCAATTCCAATTGGAATGTCATGGTCTTCTCCTTCGCCAACAATGAACACCACATCTCTGCAATCAAACATCTTCCCACCACAGCAGCCTTCCAGGTGGACTGGGGGGCAAGGAGACAGGACATTAACAAAGTGGCTTCTTAGCACTGGCTAAGTTAGGGAGGGAACTTCTCTCTTCTCATTTCATCTAGAGCCGTATGTGGCACGTCCTGTTAAAGCTTAGGTTACTCAGTCTGAAAATGTAAGAGCAATCATATTCTTCCTGTTTGAAGTTTAAATTGACAATTACTGATAGCTGATATAATTACTGATCAAGAAAATAGCTGATATAATTACTGATCAATAAGACAGGTAGGTAAGAAAGTGGAAACACTGATTTGATTCAAGCCTACTATAATGATACTGGTTTCTTCACCTATAACACAGCATCAAAAGATACTCGATTATGTAATAATTATCAAAATTTCAAAAATTAATGTCAAGTATTTACCGATTTAAACAATTATAACTGCATCTTGGCTTCAGATGCTTGGATGAAAAATAACTGGCTATTTCCTTGATATACAAAGATTAACTGAATATTAGAAGCTCTTTTTTTTAAGTCTTAATCCCATTCAGAAATACACTTGAACGAAAACAGAAAATTCAAAAGCAACATCAATAACTAACTTAGCTGTATCCCTTAATGGAGTAATAAACTTAAAGTGAAAAGGACTCAGTAGTCTATAAATTCACAAATCAAATTACTTTAGGCACTTTCTATGAACCGAGGAGGTGAGGAGGTCAGTTTCTTGGGGTTGTTAATTTCCCACTCCACTCAAAGTCACTCAGCTCATTCCCACTGTAATTACACAGCAGACAAGGGACTTTCATGTTTTCTCAAGACAAAATAGGAAAAACCCATACAAATAAATGTATTTTTCTTGATTGGTCAGATGCTCTGGAACTTTCCAACTACTTTTAACACATAACAAATTCTTTCCTTTCTATTTAGCTGTTTGACTCAGTAAGAGAAATGGATGGCTTGCGTGACAGCACAATAGTCATCAAGCAATATAGTAATTTGTCTTTCATAAGAAAACTCTTTACTCCTACTTCTGTAATGGCCGAGATTCAATTATAATGATTTCCTAAAATTGGAAAATTCTTTTCCAAGATGGCTGCTCTACTTTAGATTAATAACTTGCCTTAGAGATTAAAAAATCATTCACAATTATTATCTTCCAATACAAATTCAATTCCAACTTACTTTACTTTTGAACTACATAATCTCAAAGGTCTTTTGAAGATCTGAAACTCTACAAGCCAGTAATACAATTCTTGATATAGGCCAGAAACCAGCTTCAAAGATAATTCCTTTAGTTAATCATTTGATTGGGTTACCTTTGGCCCAGGCCTGAGAAATGAAAGCAGCCCTAAAGAGTAAACAGCCATGATGTAGATATGAGGGGACAAAGTGTCACCTGGATACTTATGTGTTGAACTTCTCTTCCCTTTTCTCATTCACCAGGATTATTACTAGCTGGATTTGTTCCCACTGCAGACATAAGATAGAGTCTAAGAAGCTTGGGTCAAACTAGAGAAGGCCTAACTCTTGAGGCAGACCCTTCAAACAAGGGCAAAGGCTAGGCTGGAGCTGCATATAGGAATTTTGCTATGTCTCATACTATACTCTCTCTTTTTTAAAGAATTTATTTATTTATGCATATAAGAGCTGGGGTATAGGCCAGAGGTGTGGTGCGGGGGGCACAGGCCAGAGACAGAGTGGGGAACAGAACTGGTAGACTGAGTGAAATACACTCCTGAGGGGAGCAGTGGGCGAGTCAGGAGAGGTCTGCTGCACCACGTGGGTAAGCTCCCTGCCCGGGGATCAAACTCATGCTGCAGAGGCTGCGGATAGCTTCATAGGTTGTGTCTTAACCCCTTGCGCCACCAGGGAGGCCCCTGTCCCATACTCTTGAATGCAGCTGATGCTCTCTATTATGCTCTATTACACCCACTTTTGGGTGCTCTCCAAAAAAGGTAATCAACTTTCAGCACATTGAAAATTCTTTTGAATTGGAAGCCATCTTCAAAATAAATTCAACTTCTTTATTTTCAAGTACACACATACTAGAGAGGTCCTAGACGTCTAAAAGCCTTAAGGTATTTTTACTAGAGTCAAAGTCGCTGCTTCTAAAGGAGTTGAGAGTTCTGGAAAGTCTGTGTTTTTAAATATTTTTAAATCTGACTATGAAGTTTAAGACTAATGTGATGACACTTTTCATGAAAAAAGATTTGCTGAGCAAAGTGAATTTCAGCTCCTGCATTGTGGAATAGCTCAAGTATTGAGATTTATTATTCTAGCAGCTCACAACTTAGTTGACAGATCTTTTTGTTTGAGGTTTATTGTTAGAAGTATCATCTTCCTCCCTAAAGGAGAGTACATTTAGTGGGGGAGGAAACTATCAGTACATTCGTTGTGGTTTTTTGGTTGATCAACTTTGAATGTGTTTTCAAAACAGGAAATCCAAAGTCTCTGCAAAGGATTCCTGCCTGTGTGTCAGCTTCCTAAACTTTAGCTTAATGCATGTACTTGACATTAAGCCTCTATGTTTATAATTTTAGATGTGATAACCCATCATTTTAAGAGATTAAAAATTATTGGCCACTAATAAGCAAGTTTGGAAAGGTGAATGTGGCAAGCATGCAAACAAATAAAAGGTCTAAATCAAACTATGAAACTTAATGAAAGCATAACGAAGAAAGCAAAGCAAAAAATTCATTGTTTCTAATCTAAGAGGCAATAAATGATAGAACTAATGTTTGTGACCTTCTAATAGGAGGTCACAAAAACTACCTTATATGTAATCTTTTTTTCCTAAATTAGAACTGAACAAGTCCTGCCACTACAGTACCATAGTACCATAAAGTTTTAAACTGAAATAAAATGACATGTATGCATGTGTGTACGCGTGCACACGTGCGCACACAAACACACATATACACATACACACAGAGTTTATGTGTATTTATAAAACCACCACTTTAATACTGATGTTATCTGGAATGTCAGAGCAAGAAGAGGTACCACAGCCTCAGGCAGTCTACAGCTCATTGATTCTGTACATCTACAAATAGTGAAGGATATAGCTCTGTTAACTGGTTTCCAAACTTGGAATACTGGTGTGACCAGTTCTACAAGGCTTCTGACAAGAACTCGCACACTCCCTTGGAGCCACAGTGCCTGCCCCTTCATGGTGACAGACATATCTACCTCCTATAGATAATGTTTTTAATATGCTGCTTTAACAATTGCTACCAAAGAAAACCATGGCAGCTCTGGCTATGGAAGACCTGTGGCTGCTTTTGACCTTGCATCTCTTAGTACAAATACTCACTTAATAAATATTTAATAATAACCATCATGACTCATTGGGAGCTCGGCCTCTGGGGCTCAGGAGATCTGTTGCTAATTCCACCCAGCATGATTTACGGGAAGTAAATGATCTATGACGTGCCCAAAGAGAATAAAAGTACATACAGGATGCTTCTACTTAGGACTTTTTTTGGTAGAGAAAGAAATGCACAAGCTAAAAAGGGACAACATTTTCTTCTGACTTGAAGTCTATGTAACTTAAAAGGGGGAGGTCCGTCAATCCCCACAAAGTCAAACCAAACCAAATTACCGGAGTTTAGCTGCGCAATCCCAGTGTAACCACATCAAGTAAGCCTGGTCTGCTGCAAAACATCACTTAAACTGGAGCTCTGACTTATTGTTCTCTTACTGCCCTACAGCAATTTTGTTTTGAAGAGCACAGAACACCCTGTTCTGAATGTGGCTGGCACATGAACTCGATGTGCTGACAGCAATTTGTACTCCAATTAAAATGGGGGGAAAAGGAAAGAGAGTGCACTGCAGTAACAAAAACTGGAATGCAAGAACCCAAAAACTGTATAATTTGCATTTTAGGAAGGAAAACTGAGAAAGAGACTCCATAACCTAAAAAAAAACAGGCGCTGTAAATGCTCCAGCCTAACTACGTTAGCTCTGGTAAGTGTTTCTCCCTTTTCTAATTATAGTAGTTGGTATCTGATAGCTTTGCACTCATTCCCAAAACAATTACTGGGTCATGGGGCTCTGAATGGGAATAGTGTAATGGCATTACTACTAGTCAAGACTGGTCATTTGGCAGAGAAAACCAGGTTGTGACAGGTTACTCCCCCTCGGCAAGGGTTTTCTCTGCTGCATAATTCATGCCAAATGAGTTTCTCTCCGCCTGTGTCTCCTGCCTAATAGAGCAGAGCATCCAAGAGACAGTGGGATCTTAATGACCCCCTGAAAAGGCAAATGAGGAAGCAGACATGGATTTCTAAAAGCAGGACAGGCATATTAATCACTGATTAGAAGAAGAGAAACGGTTTCCACCAGGCATGGCGGTTCAATTTCCCTCAAACTGCCTTCTTGCTCTTTACCATTTTGTATTATTCAGGATGAGCAAATAACACTATAAGATTGCTTATGGAACTGAGGCCCAGATGCTGATTGCGAGTAGGCATGGAACTGGCTACTTGAATGTAATAATATTATGTCTTAGTCTAAACAGGAAGGGTATATATAGCAATAAATTCCACACTCACACAAATCCTCACCACTCCTCTTTTCTTTACACCAGTATAGCTCTCTAGTCAGACCTGGATTCCAGTCTGTTCTGCCTACTTAACAGTTGTGTCTTTGGGGGAAGTTGTTTAAATTATCTGAAGTGCAATTTCCTCCCCTATATGATATGTCCCCCTCTAAATAAAACTAGCTAACTCATAATTGACAGAATTAAACTGGATACTGAATTAAAACTTTTAACTTAGTATCTGGCATTCATTCATTTGTTGGAGTGTCTACCATATGAAAACACTTTGTTATGTGGATACACAGAGATGATCTCAACGCATGTTAGCTACAACTGTTTTCCAACAATTAGTAAACTATATCAGCTTAAACATGCTTTAGAACGTGGTTAAAAAAAAGCAACACTACTAAATGGCTCCAACGAGAGCTGTCAAAATATGAATAAAACTCAATAGGCAATGTCTTATTCTGCATTTGTACCTTGCAGTGCCCAAT